TTGTATAGGCCACATCGCATTCAAACGCCTTTGCGAATGTACAGATGGAAGAAGAATGCGTAATGCATCCGGAGAATGAATCAACGGCGGAGGCTTCATTCATCCTTCACTAGCAAGGATGATACTTACTTTCAGCAGCCTTCGACTTGCTGGCAGATGGAGGTAAGGTGAACAGAATTTTTGAGCTAAGGGCTTTCAGCTTTTGAGCTTTCATTTAATTGCAGGAAAAAATACGAGTGAAGTCGGTGGATGTCTTCTGTCGTATAAATGGTGTGAGACAAGCGTACGGGTTCCATTTCCAATATATGTGATCTGCTTTGTTTTCTTCTTTGGAGCTTCGTTTCCTTTTACCGGCTCTCCATCGGCTACGCTTTTTTCGCTAATCCTTGGACCTCGAAAACAGGTATGTTTCATGATCATTTGACAGAGCACTTGCGGTCATAGATACACCACGATAAACAGGATTCGCGTTCATGTACACAAATGTGTAATCATATATTGGAGTGTGCATACATATGTGTTTGAAGACGCATATGTTCATGGAGGCTCGAATCACGGTAGCAGGATTAGGTTATCATAAAAAATCTGTATAAGTTCAGTACAAATAATTGGAAGACCAAAACAGATTTATTGAAAATTATAATGGAACCCACCTAAGTTTACTCAGTGCCACCATCTGCTTTGGAAAAAAAGCGAGTTTTCCGGGAAGGAGGTGGCCGTGGTATGCCAAATGCTTTCCAAACACCATGAGTGTATTCTCAAATCCCCCAAGGTTTCCATGATGTTGGGGGAAGGCGTCGTTCCGAAGTGATCTAGAAGATCTGATCAGGGAGATTAAGGTGGCCACTTTCCAAATGCGCAGATTCTCGAGCAGCTCAGCTGCTCAAGACGCGCATAGTTTCGGATTGTGAAGGTCAATGTTGTTGCGATTATTTCCAAGAGTTCCGCTGGCTCAAAGCACTCCTTTGAAAAGGATTGATAGCTTCCTGTTTCATTTAATGCTTCGTGTAATAGAGGCCGAGGGCGTTCGGCGTTCGCCGCAAAAAATCAAACGCAATCGCCCAAAGTGGAAGCTAATCGTGTCATAAAGACGATTACTCATCGACAAACTAAATATTACGAAATGCTATCAATTAGCGCGCCGGATAATACCCCAGGTTTTGGAGGGAACTAGGGTTTTGACCTACTTCGAAAATTCCATGGGTAAAGCCTATATCCCGTCAGGCTCCACGACAAACAACATGGAGGCGAGCTTGCCATACTCTTCAGAGGCAGCGGTTACGGAATGATTCTAGTAAGGTTCAAAGAAGATGTGGGGCACTCAGTGGTACGCCAATGGCGAAAAAAGCAAAGAAATCCGTCAAAGAAAGCAAAATAGTACCCCTTTGATTGCCCTTTCATTTTCGACCATGGATGAGCGGCGACAAAGAAAGACGTTGTTCGGACGTGTTAACCCCGATAGCCGCCATCATGCCAACAAGCATAGTGTTTTGATTGATAAGGCATTACATGGGCAAGTTGGAAGATACAGCCGCTAAAAGGGAAATGATCTTCCAAAATGAAAAGCCAACAGCAAACAGCTCGCCCAAGTCACCAACTGAACTAGTGGGCGTAACGCTTTCGGGGCGGAGTGCTTCGGAAGTCCTGCTCAGCAACCAGGGCACCTTTCGTCGTGAAGCGCCACATTCGCTTCCTTGGCAGCCAAGTAACTGCTTCGTGTGGCGCATATACTCCCCGATGCGGCCTTCCTTATCGTAATCGCTTTCTTTAACACGTTGACGACACTGTGCAGCGCAT